TGGGATCCTGTTGTGTCTATTTCCTGACTCTGGAAGGCGAGCTGGGCCAGTTAGTCCTTGGCCCTAATGAGACGGAGGTCATGGCCTTGAATCCCCAGGAGGCTCCACTGGGGAAATGTCCTGGTCTGCAGGCTGCCTCACCCTTTACCGTGTGGGTCCCGGACCAGGGGCTTGGAGCACCACCGTTAGGAGCTCTACGTTCAGCTGCATGTTTACCAGGCACTCGACTCTGCATGGACCTGGCTGAGGGCTTTACACAGATGGTCTCACTTAATCCTCAAGGACCCTAGGAAGTAGGTGCTGTAGCGTCCCTATTCCGTGGAGGAGAAAATCAAGGCTTAGAGAGGAGAAGTGCAGATATCAGATTATTCAGTCATTACGGTTACAAAAGCTGCCTTTCGTCCTAAGCTGCCTTAGGCTGTTTTCCAAGGAGCTGACCCTACAGGGGACAGAGTGGGCTGGGGTCCCCAGCCTCCAGCGAGCCAGCAGAGAGAGGCCGGTTTCCTCTCCAGAAGGGCCCAGTGCACAAAGCTGGGACGAACGCGTGCGGAGTGCCGAGTGCCTGACCCTATACGGCTGCCTTCGGGGTGGCTGAGGGCTGGGCTAGGTGGGGACCAAGCTTCATGGTTATCCAAACCTCTAGGAAGGCTTTACTTGTCTGAGTCAGCCCTGCCCATCACCCCCTAACCTGTGGTCCTGGCCTCAGTTTTCTCATCCATGGCATGGGCTGAAGGAGCTTTCCCCTCCCCTGAGCTGAAGGCACCAGCTTCCCGAGATGGTTTCCTCTTGCTGCCAACCAATCTCCAAAAGAGACCGCGAGTGTGGGCACTTCTGAGGCAGGAGTGTGAGCGGCTAGGAGCTCAGGCTCTAGAGATGAGGGTTGGATCCCGGTTCTGTCCCTTAAGTAGATGAGAAGGCAGGTAACGCTCTGAGCAGGGTCTGGGTCACAGGGGCTCAGAAAGTCTAGCTGCCCTTGTCCATTTCGGCACGACACGTAGTGCGTGACTTGCTGTTTCTGGATGTGCATTGTCTGCCTGCCCTATGACACAGCCAGCTGCATAGGGGCCTGGGCAGGGCCTTCCCTCCTCCTGCTCCCTGGCCGATGCCTAGAACAGTGCCTGGCACCTCGCAAACACTCTGAGTCGGGGGCCAGGCAGAGCTGAGATGAGTGAGTGGCTTTTTGTGGTCTTCTGCTGGGCAGCCTCTCTGAGGAGTCCCCAAAGCTCCCAGAACCTGCTTCCAGAGCTGGGTCTGAGACAAAGATGCGGGGGCACCCCAGGAGGGGCACATCTTCCCAGGCAGTAGCGAGCCAGCCAGTGTGACAAGCAGGTACTCAGCAGAGCCCCAACTTCATCCCCCAGCGCAATTCCCTCGGGTCAAGGCCACCTGGGCAGCAGCGGCAGGGACCTGCCACCCTGGGTGAGGGGACCTGTGCCAGCCCACAGCCCAGGCGGAAGCCCCACCCCTGCCGGCCCATCATCTCCTTCTCTCCCAGGTGGGCTCCTCCTGTCGGGGAGACAGGACTTGGGGGGTGGAGAACGCCTCCTCCCCCCCAAACCAGAGAGACTTGTGAAGATGTCAGCGGGCTGCTCAGATGGAGGAGGGGCGTGTGGCTGCGGAGCGCAGAGATGCCGGAACTTTTGTACCAGACACGAGCACTGGCCGCCCCCACCCCACCCCGCTGCCCCCTTCCTTCAGGAAGTGTTCGCAGCTTAACCCCGGAGGGTCAGCGCACAGCAGCACACACAGCCTGCCCCCGGCCCGCCCTGCGCGCAGCCCCCTCTCCCTCCAGCAGCTGTTCACCTCCTGGTCCCCTCTGCCCCTGTCAGACCCTCCATCTGTCTTCACACCTTTGGTGGGAACCTCTGGGCAAGTGTCCGAAGTTCGCCCAATCCATCACGCCTCCAGCCTCTCCGCCAGCCCCGGAGCGAGGAGCAAGCTGGCGAGGGTGGGGCTGCATCTGGCTGCTCACGTGGGTGGGTCTGTTTCTCCTCTTCCCTCCCTCCCTGAGGTTCCTTTCTGAGCCCCAACGGTGCATGGAACATCCACACTGTTTAACCCCATGGTGAACCACACCGCAAGGGGCCTGGTCTCCCAGGCTCTCCTCTGCCCTGTGGCAAGAGTGCTGCTTGGGGGATAAACCTCAGCCCACATGGAGACCAGTGGCTGGGAAGAGCAGTGGTCAGGGAGACAGGTGCCCTGAACGCAGCCCTGGTCCTGCCAATGTGTCCTGGGCCCTCTGTCTGTCCAGCGAGATGGCTGGCCACGTCCTCTCATTGGCCCTCCTCCAATTCCCAAGCGTTGCTCCTGTTTTGTTAAGGCCAGGCCCACATTCTCGGTGGATACCTCGC